TATGTGGATGGTAAAATATTTAGAGTATTTACATGTCTAAAAATGTCTTTATTTTGTACTTATACTCAATTGGCAGTTTGTCTGGGTATAGAATTCTAGGTGCAAAATAATTTTCCTTAGAATTTTGGAGGAGTTGCTTCATTATCTTCTGGTATCCCCTGATTCTAGTAAGAAATCTTATGTAAGTCTGATTCTTGTTATTTTAAAGGCATCTTTTCTGAAAGTGTCTAAGATTTTTCTCTTTATGTTTTGAGTTTTGAAATTTCATGATGCTGGGCCAAGTTGTGGATGTTTCTTCATTCATCCTCTGTTTCTGTAAAAATGGTTCACTTTGCACTTTGAGCTTTAATTGTAATCTAGTGTGCTTCCAGTAGTTTGACTTTACAGTTTTCATATAAGACTTGAAAACAATATGCCTGCACACATTGCTGGAGCTGAAAGTGGAGGCGGGACAGATGGTGAGACCGTGGCTGGTGGGGTTGAAGGTAGAGGCAGGGCAGATGACGGGCTGGTGGACAGGTTCCTATAGGTTTTAGGAGTCATGTCTTTCTTTAAAAAGTAGTCCTCAACTTTGGTAGCATGTTAGAATTGCCTGGAGAGGCTTTAAGAATCCTGATGCCTGAGTCCTACCCTAAGATGTTCTCGTGTAATCGGTCTGGGGTGCAACCATGGCATGCGGCTTGTAAAAGCTTCCCAAAACATACTGAAGCGCATCCAGGGTTGAGAACCACTCCTTTAAAATCCTCAGGAATGGTGTAGATTCACCTCCATAGTGAGCTTGGTCTTAAGGCAACCTTGTAGCTCCCGACACAGCTGAAGGTTTGAGATCCCTCTGGAATACCCCTCAGATGAGATCCAGGGGGCTGTTAGCTCAGCTATGAGATCCTGTTCGGACCCAGCGGGTGACTTGCCAAAACAAAGGCTCGCAGCTACTCAGATCCTTTATAGGTGGGTGGGTGGGTCAGTAGGGTTGTGGCATAGGATTGAAGCATTCAAGGTAGCTCTGAGGGGAGAGGTGTGAGCGGGAGAGACAGTTCTACTCTTTCTAGATGCCTCTTGTCCTCCAAGACCCCTTCTCATCTTCCCGCTTTCTCTCTGCTCTTTTCTGCTGGTGTTGGGTGGTCGGGGGACTCAGTGGGTCTCACTTGCTGATTCTTGCTTGTGCACCTTGCAAGCTCACGTGGGTCTCGCCTGAGTCCTGATTTACTCAGAGTTCACACTGCCCCCCTCGATGGCACAGCTGGGATCGGAGCTCTCTGGGGCCCGTCCTCAAACAGATTTAAGCATCTCTGAACACTGGCCCTCAAGTAAGATAGTGTGCTTCTCCACGAGGGGCTTAAGTGCATCTCCTCCCACCGAGGGCAGCCAGGGCAGGTGCCCTTCACTTTACCTTTTGCAGCTTCCTGCCAGCATTTTTTTTTTTTTTTGGAAGGGGGGCAGGTAGAGGGTGGATGTTGGTGAAAATGGGCTAAGAAATAGTTGGGCTTCAGAGAACGAAGCAGAGACTTCTCTCCCAGAAACTGCTCCCCTGCCCTGCCTTGCGTTCCTCACAAACAGCAGCCAGTGCGCTCTACTTGGGAAAGCAGAAAATTGTCTAAAATATTTTAGAAAAAAATGTTGAATCAGAAATAATTTTAAAATCTTGGTCTTTTAAAAGAAGAAAGGCTTTTCCCTGCTATTTTAGAAGGTTCCTGTGGAAAGACCGTGTTCTCTGACATCGCACAGTGACCCCACGCAGAGGTGCCTTGTGGTGGGTGAGGGCAGCACACGGTCCTGCCTTCTGGTGCAGCCTCTGAGGTGCCGAGGATGGGCGATGGGGCAGGTGCTCGAGCGAGGGGACTCTGGAGCCGCTGCAGGGTTGGGTCCACTGCACCCACCCCGCGCCTCCGTTTCCTTCTTTGTGAACAGGCTGTAGCAGTAGGTGCCCGTGTGGGTGTCGGGAGGGCTTAAGACAAGCTGATGTGTGCCGGGTTCCAGAGGAGGCCACACACGGTGGGCCCTTGAGAAGTCTTAGCAGCTGTTCTGTTATTGTCTTCCTCCTCCTCCATCTCATGCATATTTTTAGTATCTTCCCCCGAATTATTTCTTGTTTTCATTATCTTTAGTCTGTTTGAAATAGAAAATTTTTTATACATCAGTTATTGTGCGACATCCATTTCAACCTGCTTCTGAAATGTGTGTAAACAAATGGTGGTTTTTGAAACTACTATGAGCAACCTTTCAAAATATTCTTTAATTAAGATGTTTCGCATCTTCCATAGTTGAACAAAAGTAATTTAAAGGCATTTTGATGACTTGCAATTGCTTGTCTAATCTCCACTTTAAAAGAAAGTTTTATCATTCATAAAACACTTTTTAAAATGTAGATATAACTTGAGCCATATCATATTTGTATGTATTCTATAAATAATAAAAAAGTAAATTGTAACATTGTGAAGAAATGATTCTGCTGTCTCACTGAAGTTGGATAAAGCAAGCGAATTCATGGGAATCCTGTGTTACACATAATAAAACAGTTAATTTGGATTATGTCAGAAAGGACATATTTTCCTAGAACAATATTTTCTTAAATAGGAAATGTTATATCGACTATTGGATAATGTAGATCCAAAGTGTCTATTTTCAGGAGTGTTGGGTATTTAAATTGGGTTAAGATTCATTTACTATTATTTCATATCATAATAGAGCAAAACATTTCTTAATAATGTGGTCACTTGCTAAAATTGAAATAAAACACAATCCCACCCTCTTCTCTCCAAGAGTAAGGAATGTTAATATCGCACCGAGGCGGGAGTTTTTCCTGCTGTGGCCATGACAACCGACTCCCCTCACAAAGGGACAGACCTCCCCAAACATCAGGCCCTGGCACAAACATTTGACTTTTCAAGGCAATAATATTAAAGCAAATTCCTTATCTTTGCCAAACACAAGATTCATCGTGAGAAACTTTCAGCTTCCTTAGTAGATGCATTTTCCTTCATTAACCAAATTCTTGGGTTTGATATTTCCCCTTCTAAAACCCAACGCTAATAAAACCACTTTTTAAACACAGCTCCTGTTAATTTCAGTGTGTCTTTTCCCATTTTTCGTTTTGATTCCATGAGCTTTTTTCTCTGGGCCTGCCTTGCTTTGTGGTGATGATGGAGATTTACCTATAGTTGCTAATCCATCCCAAGGGGTCAGGAGCCAGGCCCCTGTCTCCCCTTGTGTGCATTTCCTTCTCTTGCTTGTTATACCTGTGGTTCTTTGAAATCTGTGACTGTCCTGCTAACTGGTTTGGGTTGGCCAAGCTCTAGGATTAATGCTGGAAATTAAGGTGCTACCTCATGTGAAAACAGCCAAAGGCACTGCTCTAGGTCACACCCTTTGAGGCCCTGCATGAGGGCCAAGGTCCTTACTTCTGGTTGCAGTGTGGTTTGTTCCAGAAAGTGGCTGAGTAACAGGAGGGACCTGCCTTCTCTTCCTGTTCCCCTTACAGCGGAAAACTGGGGAGCACCTGGGGTGAGGCCTGGGGCAGACACTTTGCTGGTGTCCCCTGGGACCAACATTTTTCGGGTTGTCTCAGCTCTGAGTAAGAGGGATTTATTGTTTTAACTCTGCCCACACCTGTTCTGCTTTGTGCGACTTTCCTCAGTGGCACCAAATCTAAGTGTCTCTGTAATACGATTCAGGCACCAGAATTTCCTTTCTAGGGAAGGTGGGAATTGTGCCCCTCGAAGGCCCCTTGGTCCCCTCTTTTGGACTAAGTGCCTCCTCTAACCTGCCCCGCCCTCAGCATGTAGACCGAGCTTGCTGTGTGTTCATTTCTGCGCTCTGTTCCTTATTCGGAAGGCTTATCCTGGCTGCCCTCCCTTGAAAGCTGCCGGTTCTCCCCATGCTGCTCACTGCCCAGTTCATCACTCGGAACCCCATTCTCTCAATGTAAACTTGCGTCATCTCTCTGGCCCCCTCTGCCGTGGTCTCGTCTTCTCTGCATAAGCCTCCCTAGAGCTTCCCACCGTTCATTTGGCATTTAATATAGGTTGTCAGTTACCTCTCCTTCCAACTCAGGTCTAATCTCTGAAGGCAAGGATTCTAAAACATTTCTTAAGATATAATATCCATACAGAAAAGTACACCTATCATCTTTGTACAGCTCAATTAATTTTCACAAACTGAACACACCGTGCAGCCAGCACCCTGATGAAGAGCGACATCACCGGCCCAGGAGCCCTCCTCCCCAAGGGAAACCGCTTCCCTGATTTCCAGGTGCGCAGGTGAATCTGCTGCCTTTGTGCTCCGTGTGCCATCCCCACATGGTGCCTGCTCCCTGTGCTCGGCGGTGCAAGGGGCACCCACGCCGCGTGCGGCCACGATTGTCCATCCTCCTTGTGTATTTTCATACGCGTGGTATATTTTCCATCCCAAGAGGGGTTCTTGTGCCGATCATGTCTTGGTGAAGTAGGGTCTGTACCTCCCGGAAGAGCTGGGGGTCTCAGTATGTGCAGGAACAGTGGACACTGACAGGGCCTGTACCTCATCACTGAAATATGTGTTCAGGTAACTGCCCACGAAGTGTCCAGTCCAGTGAGCTTCTACCAGCTGATCGCATGTGTGTATGTGGCCCCAACTGCCGGGTAACCATATCGTGACTTTTATCAACAGAGACTTTATAGAAAGTGTTCCTGCCAGTTCTTCTCAAGCCCTTCCATTCAGGGACATTGTAACTTTGTTTTTTAAAAGTATTCCCCAGGGTTTAGCTTAGTGCTGTACTGGATAAATGTTTGCTGACTTTATTTTCCTCCTGTGAGCACATCCTGCTTTAACACTGGTACTGGGTGGACTGTCGTCTCTTATCATTATACTTACTCCATCAGTTTCTTCTAAAGAGGCCTGATTTTTTAGTTGGTGGTGCAGAATGTTCCTAGCTTTCCTACTGTGTGCATCACACTGAATTTTATGAAACAGAATCCATTGAAAATTGAATTCTAAAAGAGCTTTTCCTTTTCTTCTTTAAACAGTCGGATATTCTAAAAATCAAGCCATAGCACAGAGCTCAGGATCTTACCTTTGCTTTTTGGATTCGGTAAGTAACTCTTTGTTTTATTTAAAATGTGTGACTATATGTTTCGAATAATTAAGAGGTATTACATTTTAGTGTGGTTCTTGAAAATCATTGTTCTAATACGTTACAATCGGCCTTTAAGGTTGATAAGTTGTTGCTGTTTAATTGCTGTAGCACCTAATGAGGGAACTGATTTTTGATAAATAGGGTTACATATAAACACAAAATTGCACAGCAGAGAAACATATAAACAAAGTGAAGATAAGCTAGGAAGGTCTTGACAAATACAATGCTTAAAAGATTAATAACCTTAAATAGAAGTAACTCATGCAAGTTGGTGAGAAAACACAAAGAAAAATGAGTGGTAGATAAATAGGAAAGGACAGGAGTTGATACTCTCAGAGGTAGACATGCAAACAATGACCTTTAAAAAATGTTACATCGTTTGTGATCAAACACAAATTAAATTAACTGAGATACTACTTTTAAAAATCAAATTAACAAAGTTCTCTACAAATGTAGATACTCAGTGTTTGGAAATGCAATGTGAACTGGTAGCATTGACAGCATAATTTTGCATTTTGTATTAAGAACTTTAAAAATGCTTGTGCCCGGGCTTCCCCGGTGGTGCAGTGGTTGAGAGTCTGCCTGCCGATGCAGGGGACACGGGTTTGTGCCCCGGTCCGGGAAGATCCCACATGCCGCGGAGCGGCTGGGCCCGTGAGCCATGGCTGCTGAGCCTGCGCGTCTGGAGCCTGTGCTTCGCAACGGGAGAGGCCACAACGGTGAGAGGCCCGCGTACCGCAAAAAAAAAAATGCTTGTGCCCTTGACCCTGAATTTCACTTCTAGGTATCCTTGAAATTCTGAAAATGATTTATGTACAAAGAGGCTTTAGTGTTATTTATAATGACGGAAAATTAGTTAATGGAAACAAGTTAATACTGGGTAGTAGATTAACAGTGAAGTGAATTGTGGTCAATCATGAGAGAATTACTGTAATGCGGATAAAGAACTTTTAATAACATGACATGATTATGATGGGTGAGGAAAGAACACATGATTGTATATGTAGTGTATACTCAACTAGAGATTTTCTTTTTAGTGACTTTAAGGCACTCTGAGAACATTTATCTGTATGCAGTCTTCCCTTGGGCTCCTCCAGGTCTGGGGGTGAGGCGCTGCTCCAGGTCTGGGGGTGCAGGGCTCCTCCAGGGTGGGGCTACACTCCTTTTGTCTGACCACTGCCCTTTGGGCTCCTTTTCCTCTACGTTTATTTGTTTTGTTTCTTTGATTTTCCATCTTTGTGGTTTTGTTTCTTCTGCTGTGTTCGGGCTCATCCTGGTGCTCGACCTCTGACCTTAAATTGGACCCCGAGCTCCTTGCTTGCAGCCCCTCCCTTCTCTGAAGTGCAATGTAAGGCAATCGTTTTCTTCTCATGACAGCTGTGGGGTGTCCCATAAGTTCTGAGCAGAAATTTTAGTTATCGTCGTTGTTTTCCAGTTTCCATGGTGATTTTTTTTCCTCTTTGTGAATTTAGGTCCCAGGGTCTCAGGGGCACAAAACTGGATGAACCCTGACCCTGGGTTCAGGACGCCTCCTCGTCACTGGTCCATGCATCCGTCTTGTTGTTTGCTTCTGTGTCCGTGACTGTGCCTGCATGTTTATTTTGATAATGCTCGGCACCTGTGAGCCTGCTGTCCGAGGCTAACGTGAGCTCCCGGCTCCGACCTCGTTATGCTGACTTCTGCTCCTTGGCAACCGCCACACGATGCCCTGTCCTCACCCCCTGCTGAGCGTTTTGGTATCTATGCAAATCTGAGAAAAATCAGTTAAAAATTCTTAGTTGTGTTTAACTTTATAAAAAGAGTACCAGGCTGTATATAATATTTTTGAACTTTTTAAACTTAAATTGTTAAGGTCCATCCATGTCGTTGCACGTCATTATAGTTCATCCTGTTGTTTTAAATTGAGGTAAAATTTATATACAGTGAAATGCAAGGTTTCAGTGTGAAAACTGTGTACAAAGTGAGCAATGTGAGGGTTTTGACACTTTTATACACCCCTATAACTAACAGCCCAGTCAGGGCGGAAGATGTTTCCGTCATCCAGAGCTGCTTCCAGACAGCGTGAGTGAAGCCACATGGTGTGACACCTGTGTTTAGCTTCCACGCCACGTCGTGGTCCCCCGTGACTGTGAGGGGTGGTGGGTCGCTCTGTGCTTTAACCCGTGGTGTGAAGCTACCGCAGTTAGTTTCTGTGCTACTGCTGGTCGACATTCGAGCAGTTGCCAGTTTGGGTTATTTTATTTTATTTTTAATTAGTTAATTTATTTGGCTGCATCGGGTCTTAGTTGCGGCATGAGGGCTCTCTGGTTGTGGCACACGGGCTTCTCTCTCTAGCTGTGGCGCACGGGCTCCAGAGCATGCGGGCTCAGTAGTTGTGGCACGCAGGCTCTCTAGTTGTGGCACACAGGCTCTAGAGCGCGCAGGCTTGGGTTGCCCCACGGCATGTGGGATCTTAGTTCCCTGACCAGGGATTGGACCCACTTCCCCTGCATTGGAAGGCGGATTCTTAATCACTAGACCACTAGGGAAGTCCCCTGTTATTTCAATAAAAGTGCCATAAACATCCTGATGTAAGTCTTTCTGTGAGTGTGTGTTTCCCTTTCTCTTGGGAAGATACCGAGGGGCGGAGTTGAGGAATCGCAGGTGAAGGGACCTGGCGGGCGCAGTATGGCCGCTCTGTGTCCCTCCACCTTCTCCCAACATTGATGGGTCAGCCTTGGTTTCAACCATTCTAGCAGATGTGAAGTGCGTCTCCTTTGTTTTCATTTACATTCCCTGATGGCTAGTGATGTTGAGCACCTTCTCATCGGTTTATGGGCAATTCATAAATCCTCTTTTGTGAGATGTCCAAATCTTTGCCTATTTTTTAAAAAATGGGTTGTTTGTCTTATTCGTGAGTTGTGAATGTTTGTTGTGTATTCTGGATACAAGTCCTTTGTCAGATGTGTGTTCTGAGTATTTTCTCCCTGTCTGTGGCTTGCCTTTTCATTTTTTAATGGTGTCTTCTGATGAGCAGAAGTTTAAGTCTTGATGAAGTTCAAATTATTGATTTTTCTCTTTTATAGTTAAATTTTTTTTTTCTGAGAAGTTTCTGCTTGCCCTAAAAGAGTTATTCTCTTGTTTTCTTACTTTTATGTTTAGACCCATTATCCACCTTGTGTTCATTTCTGTGTCTCATGTGGTAGGAAGCAGGCGTTAATTTTTTCATATGAATATTAAGTTGCACCAATGTTGAAGAGACTTTCTTTTCTCAATTGAATTGCCTCCGTGCTTTGTTGAGAATCAGTTGGTCATGTCAGTGTAGGTTTATTTCCAGACTTTCTGTTCCATTCTGTTTCTCTATTGTCTGCAGCTCATTCATTCGTCTGCTGTACAACATTCCACTGGGCATACACACTGCGTGTATTCACCCATATGCTCCTACTGACGGGCACCTGGGCCGCTTCCACGCTCTTGCCCTTGTGAATAGCTGCTGTGGACGTTCTTGCACGCACCCCCTGTTGTACACGTATGAGAGTTCCTCTTGTGTTCACACCCAGAAGTGAGCATCCAGGACTCAGGGGATGAGCGGGTTCGTCTGTGGGAGAGGAGCTGTGCTGCTGTCATGTGGCTGGAGACGTCCATCCCTTCTGGCAGGTCATTGTGGGTCCCGAGCCTCCCCAGCACTGGGTGTCCTCAGGCTCTTAAATCTTGTCCAGCAGGTGGGAGCAGAGTGGATCCCCTCTGTGCTTTGATTTGTGCCCCCTGATCTCGAGCTGTGGTCAGCCTCACTCCACGTCAGTTGGCCATGTGAGTTTCCTCTTTTCGTGACACGTGTTTACATCTTTTTGCCCATTTTCCTTTTTCCAACTTTGAGAAGAGTGGCAGGGATAGTACCCAAAACTCTGTTTTGAAGGCCAGCATTGCACCCATCAGCCCGGAGCACTTCCGTGTGTGTTTCCTGTAAAGAAGAACGTCTCCTCCAACCCAGAGCAGGAATGTCTCGCTGACAGGTGGCTGATACTAGTGCTCACCTCATTCACGTTTCACCCAAGGGCCCCAGAACCCATGTTGCCTTTACCTGGGAGTCTTTCATCTCCTCCTCTGGAGCATTCCACAGCACCTCCCTGACTTTCTTCATCTTGATGTTTTCGAAGATTCCCAGGCACTTTTGTAGAATGCCCTTAAAACTGAGTAACGGTGTTGGGCCAAGTGTCTCTGTCCAGAAATCTCAGAAGGGGTGCTGCCTTCTCCTCACTGTCTCCTTGGGTGCCTGTGATTTTGATTTGCCCCAACCCTGACGATGCCCTCTGGTCGCTTGATGAAGGAGGCGTTCCCCGTCTGGGAACGGGGTGTGAGGATGGTGGCAGGGTCTGTGGGGAACAGGCCTTGGCCCCTGAGTGTGTACGTGTGGGAAGAAGATGGCTGTGGTCTCCAGTGAAGGCTGGGTGCGAGTGTGCCCGCTGTGTTCTGTCTCAGCACGGAAGTGATGCCAGCGCTGCACAACCACAGATGGCACATCAAAATGGACCATTTCTGCATGAAGAATGGGTTCATGAGGCCCCTTTGCTGGGGCATCGAGGTTGCATTTTGACTTGTTAGCCACCTGGGATGCAGTCTGGTGCCCGTGTTTGGATTCAGAACACATTTCACTAGGAGTGACAACATCAGGGGAGACCAGCTCCCATGCTGCTCCTGGGACTGGAGTTCATTCATTCAGCAAATCGGTACCTGGATGTGCCAGGTGCAGCAGCGGGTGCAAGGGATACAGCAGCGAACAGACAGAGACAGCGAAAGCCAGAGCTCAGGTGACTTCAGGCCCTGTGCCTCTGCTGCTTCCCTAGCCTCCCCTGAGAGCGGCCGCTTCACCTCCTGCAGCCCACGCCCTCGGGCCCTGCCCTTTCTCTCTCTCATGCACCTGCCTTACCCACCACACCATCCCCTCCGGCTTCTCAGTGATGCTCTCACCCCTCTGT